ATACAGGTTTGCTTATCTGGGTATCTGAATTAGCACTCACTGCTTTTCCCACCATAATTCTGGTTCCGCTGTGTCCCTATCATTTATTCGGCTGTGTCCCTATCATCGACTGGCCTACAGTGCCAAACAAACTTTCATAGTTTACATTTTTCAAAAATTTCCAAGACACTTATCTGCTACTGCAAGAAGCACATGGAAACGATGTTTTCACGAAGAGAAGAAAAAGAACCCGTCATCACTACTAGGCTTATCACTCTGTTAACATCGAATTGATGCTTTCATGAGAGAAAAACTACAGAACAAGTGATGCTAGATCTAATATTCCTCATCACGTTAACAATATGCCTACTGCTAATATTTTCGCTAAATTTCCACGTTTTCCTTTTCGTACTTTCCCCTGCAGATGAGTCTTTTATTCTGAAAAAATCTTCGCTATTCTTCGTCTTTTGAATTTCCGCTATTTTTCGTCGGAGGCTGTAATTCTCAAGTTTTTCCCTCGACTTTCGTCTAAAAATCTGCAAAGGAAGAGTACTTTTTGCTTGAATTCTATGTCTTTTCAAGTTTCTTCTAATAGTAATTTCCTTTGTTATCAAGGTTCTCAAATCCAAAAGTACGCTCAAATCTTTTGCGTTTCGAAGTAGTTAGTCAACGAAACACTTATAATCCTGGTCTATATCCGTTATCAGAGCATTATCCGTTTCGTCCATCTGTTATCTGACATCCATGCCACATGACCAGCCCAACTGTTCCTGTTGGCGTACATTGCTTCGATTTATATCTTTATCTTTTTACTAAATTTAACAGCCAATACCTTGGCAAGCCATGGGATATTTTCGATGTTTAATGTTCGGCGTGCCTGCTCCACCGATGCATTGAAAGCCCAAGCCATCATCAACGAGAACAGCACCACCCCAATCCCGCACATCAATGCTGCGATGACCGAAGCATATGGTACTCGAGCCAAGCATTCGTCACCACCACCGCCATTCGGTTCCATGCGTTTACCGGGGCGATGCTGCCACGCTGGACCAAAACGCATCTTATCAATTATATCGTTTTCAACCTGAAATTTCGAAAAAAACCAAAGTTTTTGTAAAAAGAATCAGCATTTTTGGAGTTTTTTTGAGCGCATCTGTGTTAATTATATCGTTTTCAACCTGAAATTTCAAAAAAAAAATCAGCATTTTTTGCAAAAAAAAATCAA